TGAAAACTTAAAGTTTTCAGTAAACCTGCTTTGTGAAACGGAAAAGTCAGTTTCCCAGTTTTTAGGTTCTGAAAACTTAAAGTTTTCAGTAAACCTGCTTTGTGAAACGGACCCCAGGTTTTAAAATCCTTTAACTCTGGTGTTATTTGGTGTTTATCAGACAAAAGCAGCACTGATTTTACTGTTTGATGCTTTAAAGAAATTGATTTCTTTCTGAAACAGAGTCACAATAAAGGAAGAGTTGAAGAAAATCATACTAAAGTTATTCTGAGACCAACCGTGTTGCAAAGAGATGTAAACATTAGTTTCGATCTGATTCATTTCATGATTGGTGCATGATTGATCTGTGGTGGATAAAAAAGAAACATTCACATCATCTACGTTAAATTTATTTACTTCAATTTGAAATTAAATCCATTAACTAAATATTAAAGTATTTAAACTAAGAAGCAATTTAACATGACATGAGAAGATAAAGATCTCACCATTGGGGTGTCTAGAGCGCCACAGCAAGGCCAGGAGGATAATTATAATGATTCCACTAACAATCAGCAGCACAGGAAGTAGAGGGTTATAAGGGCTGGATGCTGCTCCTGGAAATAAAACATTACAAAGAATTTAATGATTTTATCATCAGATCCAATGAAAATATTCAAATAAATGACTTTAAGCAGAAACAGAATTAAATCTACATAACATCTTTATAAATATCCTGAGTTTGAATCAAAAAGTAAAAGTATAGCAACAATAATAGACAAACAAATGATGTCAGTTGTTAGGGCCAAGAGAGTCAAACTCAGTTATTAGAGTTTGAGAAAACAAAAGTTTTATCTAAGATTAGGTTGCCTGACAAAGATTTAATTCTTCAGAAATGAAGCAATTGTTGTTAAAATGGCAAACAGTCTGACAAAGCAGCAAAAAAATAAATAAATAAAAAAAAATTTATGAAGAGAAATAGTTTTTCAAGTTCATAACAGAACATTTCTTTATAAGCTTGCTTTGTTTTCTATTCAGCAGTTTAAATAAATTTCTGGGTAATTGTGTTGGGATCTGGAGGTCTGTCCACCTTTCTCCAGCAGAGGGCGTTCTAGGTCTCCTGGGGCTGAAGCTGACCACCACACCTGCGGCTCGTGAGCTCATCAGGGGACCAGCATTTAAGGAGGGGCAGAGCAACAATCCGATGCCAGAGTGTTTGCCAGTTATGGTTGGCGAACCTGAGCCAACCTGCCTGTCTGTATCTCTGACTCCCTTGAAGCCTGAACCTGAACCTAATCTGCTTTTGTCCTCTCTGCTTCTCAGGAAGAACCTGCTTGGAGACCAGAAGACCTGGAAGGGTTTCTCAAACGTGAGACCAAACTGTCTGTTCTCAGTAGAACCCCTGGAAATCCATCTCAGTCTGAAACCTGCCTGCCCGCTCTCAGCAAGAGCTGAGAGAGAAGCTCTGAACTTGCTCAGTAAGATTATCTGCTCTGCCCTGCCTTTGCCTTGCCCTCTGCATGCCTTCAGCCTCTGGACCCTCCTGGTTCCCCCCTTCTACTGCTCTGCTCATCTCTGATCAGGTATAGACCTGCAAACACTTAAACCTGCAAGTCCACTGAAAGTCTGCTAACCAATCTGTCCCTCTCTGCAGTGAAAACCAGTCGTGACCAGACCCGGACCCAGTTTATCCCAGAACCAGTGTTCTTTATTGTGAAACATTCTTCAATAAACTTGTGAACTTTTTCCCAGTCTTTGAGTGTTCTGCTTGTGGGTTAGATCCCTAAAAGCCAACATGACACATTGAGAAAAAGCTCATTNTGTATAAAAGGGAGCTGGTTTCTTCATTTGTTCAGCTTCGGCTCACCAGCTCTGTGTAAATGTGTAGTGTTTAGCAATAAACACTGGACCCGGACTCAGCTGCCCTCTGTCTGAATTTTTTGATCTTTGTTTGAGACTTTTTCTGCTTTTTAAGAACTTTGAATTTTTATAAAACTTAGCTTCAATTTTAAGTCGTCAAGAAGAGAATTATAGGACGACAAAAGCATCTGAGTTAGTCCTTCAGGGTTTGGGCTTGAAGACACATTTCTGGATTAAGTTGATCACTGATCATCAAATGATGGATTAAAAAAAAAGAAGCTATTTAAACCATTTGGAGTTTTATCCTGATATTGATTAGGATTTTTTGAATTGTTTATCCCAAAGGATTTCAGTTCATCCAGACTTTATGTCGGTTTTCAGGATTCATTTCCAGCTAAATGAATATATGTGAGAGTCTGATCAACATTGGTTAAATGATTCAATTAGGGCTGCAACTAATGAGTATTTTGCAAATTAATTAATCTGTTGATAATTTTTTTTATTAATCAATGAATAATCAGTTAGCAAAATGTTCCTTAAAGAAGACGTTTTGCTAATACAAACCAGATGAAACTAAAACTTTTTTGCTTGAGGAGATCTGGATAGAGCATATTGACAGACGAAAAAGATTTTATCTTAAGCAATATCTTAAACAATGTTTATATATTTTTTTTACAATATTGGTATAAAGGCATGTTTTAGATTCTCTACACTCCATTTACCGATTAATCGATTATTAAAATAGTTGACAATTTTTTCAATAATTTATTAATCATGAGTATTTGGATTCAATGTTTCAGCCCTAGATTCAATTACATTTTCATACAGTTTATTTATATAGCACCAAGTCACAACACATGTCATCTCAAGACACTTTACAGGGACAATTCAACCAGATCCTACGTTTAGATTGGTTCAAAGTTTTCTATGCATTAGGAAAACAAACTGATTGCATCGACTCATTGACTGAAAAGCAATCACTCATACCGAGCATGCTTGTTGCAACAGTGGAGAGGAAAATTCTCTTTTAACAGAAAGAAACCTCCAGCAGAACCAGGCTCAGAGTGAGCGGCCATCATGAGGCTGACTGGGGTTTAAGGAGACAGAAGCAGAGATGCAGAAAGAAGCAGAGATAAAAAAGGCAACTGTCAACCAGCTCCAGAGGCATCCAGGAAACTTGCAGACGAGCTCCAAATCGATTCTTATGTTAGAGGATGAAGAGAGCACATTCAGCCAGTCACGTTCAGAGAAACAGGACTACACTGAAAAACAGGCTGATTTCGAACATCTATAAACAAAGGTGTTCATGGCAGCAGCACAGATGATGTTTATCTCTGGGTGTTACAGCCAAACAAGGACCAATCAGATGAAGCTACTATGAGAAAAAGCAGAGAGAACAAATTGAACTAACACATTCTGCAGAGTGGGAGAATAGATATAGAATGAAGCAGAATGATGAAAAAATAGTCTCTATGTCCTCCAGCAGTTGAAACCTATAGCAGCATACATCGAATCTGAGGTAACTCAGGATAACCTGAGCCACTTTAACTATAAGCTTTCCAAAAAGGAAAGTTTTAAGCCTACGCTTAAAAGGAGACAGGGTGTCTGACTCACGGACTAAAACTGGTAGTTGGTTCCACAGGAGAGTAGCCTGATAACTAAAAGATCTGCCTCCTATTCTACTTTTATAGGAACCACTAGGAAGCCAATGAAGAGAAGCCAGGATAGGAGAGATGTGATCTCTCTTTTTGATTGTCATCAGAACTCTGGCTGCAGCATTTTGTATCAGCTGAAGGCTTTTAACTACAGTTTGTGGACTTCCTAATAGTAAAGAATTACAATAGTCAAGTCTTGAAGTAACAAATGCATGGACTAGTTTCTCAGTATCACCCCTGGACAGGTATTCCAGGCATTAAAGGAAACAATATTCTAGAAACCTCTTTGATATGGAATCTAAAAGACAGGTGCTGATCAAAAATAAGTTGTTTTTATTTGTTGTCTGAGATTAATTTAATCCCATCCAAATGAAGTGACTGGCTAATCAAGTCTGGTCCTAAAACAAAAACTTTCATTGATTCAAAATGACACAGTTGATTCACCTCAAACTGTTTATAAAGATATATTATATGGTGATAGTAACTGTAGAGCTATTCATATAGACATGCTGTTGGTGAAAATATGCAGCAAAGAAACCAGGAATAAAACAACCTAGTCTCATGGGAAAATGTACCCCCACTACGTTGGTCCACACTGCAAAACGTAGTGGAGGTACATTAATGGCCATTTTTTTTGTGGCACTGTTACATTTCTTCTGCCTATACGCTTTCTATTGTTTTACGTCCTAGTCACGTGACTTTCAAGATTCCAGCTGGGAGAAGAAAAAAATATA